AGCAAGGGGGAAAGTCTGCCCCCATGATCCAATTGCCTCTCACCAGGCCCCTCCTCCAACACTGGAAATTACAAATGGATGTGAGATTTGGCAGAGGACACAAACCCAAACCATATTAGGCAGGTTGCTGTGTATTTCTTCTTCCCTCCAAGGAAGTGGAATTCAAAGGGGAGAGACTTCACTTACTTAAAATTTATCTAAAGCCCGTGAAATAGGCTGCAATGGAGCCATTTGGAGAACTTGTGTTGGAGGGACACAAAGACTGATTAACACACACCCAGGAAGTCTGAAGTTCAGAGGCTGTATCCAAGTCTGACAGAGTAGAAAGTACTTCAGCAGGTCAAGAACACAGGCATACTTTCCCTAGGCCAGGGTAAATCTGATTAAACGTGGGTGTGGGCTGTATCATTGTCTTGAAATGGACCATGGTCAAGTGGGCCTCCTGATAAAGATGAGGCAAACACAACAGGTAGAAGTTGTAGGTGCACTTTCAGACGCAGAGTGGAGGCAGCGCAGTCTGAGGGGGCAGAGGCAGAAAGACGGACATGCAAGGGGTAGGGCTTCACCCAAGATCCCAAAAGCGGTGTCCCAGAGAGAAGGAATACATATTTGGAAACTAGCACACCCAGGCCACAACTGTAGTGGTCAAGTGGGATTGCTTTGTCCTTATGCTTCTTCTCTCTTGTCCCAAACCTGTAAGGGGTTCTGACTGCAGCCAGCAGGTGTGGGAAGGGATTGCTGGAGACAGAGAGAAGAAACTGATGCAGTACCCCTGCTACATCCACCTAAGCAGAAAGGAAGGGAGATGTTTTCAGTTGGATCAGAGTTTAGAATTTTGATATTTTACTGAATTAAATTATTTGAGAAGTGACCAAAGAAAACATTCCCTTATTTCCAGAGACTGGCATCTCCTTTTCCTTTTTTTCATATGCATGAGTAAGTTTTGGATATATGACAATATAATGTTAATATGAGCCCAGTTAAATTATGTATTTTTCATTTCTTCATAAATACCATTTTTATAGAGAGCCTTAAAAACTCTCCTAACTCCAATAATCAATGATTTTTATTATAAAACCTAATGGATGGTGCTGTGAATTAATTAGAAAGATTTTGATTGCAAATAACAGAATACCGAAATATGACTTAAATAGTAGGGGTCTATTGTCTTACATTGAAAAGAACTATAGATGTGGGAGGTTCCAGAAGGGTTAATGATGCTTGAGCTGCCAGCCAATTATGCTGAAATTCTCTTGGCTTCTTCCATGTCAACAAGATAGCTGCCACCATTCTAAACATTACACCTTCAATCTGATAACACCAGCAAAAGGAAAAGATTTTCTTCTCATGTGACTCTCCATTTCATCAGGGGGAAAAAAAAATCTGGCTGGGCATGATGGCTCATGCCTGTAATCCTAGCATTTTGGGAGGCCAATGCAGGCAGATCACTTGAGGTCAGGAGTTCAAGACCAGACTGGCCAACGTAGTGAAACCCCATCTCTATTAAAAATATAAAAAATTAGCCAGGTGTGGTGGTGTACACCTGTAATCCCAGCTACTCAGGAGGCTGAGGCAGGAGAATTGCTTGAACCCAGGAGTCAGAGGTTGCAGTGAGCCAAGATTATACCATTTCACTCCAGCCCAGGTGACAGTGCGACACTCCATCTCAAAAACAAATAAACAAACAAACAACAACAAAAAACTATTTTGCAGTCTTCAGCAGATTTTGCCTTGTAGTTAATTCACCTTCATTGAGTCACATTCTCATCCTTAAATCAATGACTAAAAGTAAAAGGAAAAGAGAATACTGTGATTGGCTTAGACCAATTATGATTCATTCCCAGAGGCAGAATCTACCTTTCTCAGCATATCAGTGCCTGGTACTTGAACAAATTTGACAGTCTAATAGCAATGGAAAAGGGAGGAATGGCAGTTGCACTCCCAATGTCAGCTACAGAAGTCTATGCCAAAGGCTTCTAACAGTGGAACTGTGTGGACTGAGTCACAGTGCTGACTCACTGCGCTTATGTTTTGAAGATCCTCCTTAATAACAAATGCCTCTGTCATCTCTGCCCCCAAGGCCTAATGTGAAAAGTTGGATTAGAGTTTTCAATTGAGAGAAATGACTTTTCAATTGAGAGAAATAACTAACATTCTTTGGTACATGGTGTTTTAATATAAAGCATATCATTGTTCCATATTATTTCTACTTTGCTTCAAGTATTTTTGAAGAAAGAATAATGTATTATTTTTCATAGGAATAGAAATGTGATTAACTCCCTTTGAATATAGCACACAATTATATAACACAAAATGGTAAGCACTCTTATCATTGTGTTTTCTGCTTTTTGGTGTAACAGTAATACAGTTATATATAATGATGATGATGATGATGATGATGATGATGTTTACCACGTGATGAATGGTGCCAGCCACTGGGCTGAGAATATTTATACACACACACACACACACACACACACACACACACACACACACATTTTTTTTTTCCAGTTCTCATAAGGCGTTTTATTTATTTAACCTTTATTTTAGGTTTGTGGGAACATGTGAAAGTTTGTTACATAGATAAATAAATAATATTATGTCTGCAACAATGTCCCTTCCCCCTGTTATCATTTCCTCCTATTTTGGTAGATGTCACTTTGGTACCAAGTGACTTATTAAAATCAAGTTGATGCTGCGTTGAGTATAGCAACTCAGACTCCCCTTCTTCCAAGACAACTAGACCTCAGGTTAGGCTCAAATAATGTGTGGTCAAAGAATTGTCAAAAGTAAAACATTTAGTACTAAAAAGAAGTGGGAAACATTGGAAAGGGTGATGGCAATTATTTACTAGGTATTTTATCTTTTGAATTTCTCAGCAAAGGAATCTAGCTATCTGAATAGGAGGCAAAGATGTGTGACTATTTCCTGTTTCTACTGGTGCTTATGATAACTTGAAGCAAAGGCGCTGTTGCTGTAATGAATTCAGGCAGTCTCCTGAGTGTCCTGCTTTTTCTTTTTCCAAAATTACTTCTCCTCCCTATCCTCAATAGGTATATCAGATTATATTTAATTTCTTTAGGGTCTTGTTCTTAGCCAAATGCCATAAAAGAGAGAAATCTGACAAATGAACTCGCCCAAAGGTGTTAGTATCCTCCTTAACTGCAATTTATAGTGACTGACTGAAAAAAACTACAATATATCAAATAAGATTAAAAAATGAATTTGTTTCTTTTTTCTTTTTTTTTTGAGACAGAGTCTCACTCTGTTACCCAGGCTGGAGTGCAATGGTGCAATCTCAGCTCACTGCAACCTCCACCTGTTGGGGGTAAAGCGATTCTCCTGCCTCAGCCTCCCAAGTAGCTGGGGTTACAGGCTCCCACCACCACACCTGGCTAATTTTTCTATTTTTAGTAGAGATGGGGTTTCACCACATTTGCCAGGCTGGTCTTGAACTCCTGACCTCAGGTGATCCACTTTCCGTGACCTCCCAAAGTACTAGGATTACAGGCCTAAGCCACCGCGCTCAGCCAAGAAATGCATTTCTAATAAGAGTTTAGGCTGGTAGAGATTTTAGGGTTAGGAGACACAAGGCCCCTTATAGCTCACATTGTCTGCTGTCTTGGTCAGAAAGGTCCTGGAAGCCCTGGTGGATTAGGTTTTAGTATATGCACCAAGTTACAACCTGAGCAAGGCAAGTGCAATGTAGGTCTCCAATGGTGGGGGGACAAAGATTCACTTCCTTTATTTTTTCTTTTTTTCTTCACTTGGGGCAGAGTCTTTTCCTTAGACACAAACCAAGCACATTGAATTGCATCAGACAAAAACAATATATTTTAACCTGAATAATAGGGACAGTTATGGCTATAATCTTGTCCTACAATTATTATTATTTTTTCTTCTGATGGCTAATGTTAAGCCTACTCAGTGCTCAGTAGTGAAAACAGGAAGTTGTTTTGTGAAATTTTTATTATCGCAGACTTAAACTCCAAACACCTCAGATCAAAAGATAAACTGCTCTCCTGAAATCACTCAAGCGATTGTCCAAATGTCCACTTCCCTTTGAGCTTTATAGAGATGGCCTAAAAATACTTTAGCATTGGTAGGAATCAGGAGTTCAGATGAGTACTTTTAGGGATGATGATTTGCCAGGCTGCCATTCTGTTCTGGGATAAAATGGTATTCAATTTTAGAGGCTAAGACTTTTTACAACTTAACTGACAAACCAAAAGCAATTTTCAGTTTTTTACCAGGATCTGGGGACTAGAATTCCCTACCACACTATTAAACATTTCTTGGCAGCAGCTCATGGGATGTGGCTGACAGCTCTTGGCAGAAGCTATAATAGAATCGTCCTTCTTCCTTCTATCACTCTAGCAATTCACAGTCGATTTATAGTACTTTCTGGGAAAGGCAATTCTCAGTCCTAAGGGATATCAAAATGAAAAGCACATCAAATGAAGTATTTAATTTCATCAACCCGAGGATTAAGTAAAAAGTCTTTTTCTCCTTTTGGGCTCATAATAGAAAAATAGCCTTTGGTTAGAGAGACTTCATTATGTGAGCACTTATAAAATAAATTCCTGTCATAGATTACATGTCATTTAAAATTGTAACAGAGAAAAGCATTTAAATGTAAACATGGTTATTGATGAAAAGAGTCAAACTATAAAATATTTTAAAAGATTTATTCTGAGCCAATGTGAGGGACCATGGGCCGTGACACAGCCCTAAGGAGGTCATGAGTACATGTGTCCAAGGTGGTCGGGGTACATCTTGGTTTTATATATTTTATGGAGGCATGAGATAGCAATCAAATACATTTAAGAAATACATTTGTTCCATTCAGAAAGGTGGGACAACTCAAAGAGGGAGCTTCCAGCCTATCAGGAAATTTAAATATTTTCTAGTTGATAATTGGTTGAGTTTATCTGAAGACTTGGGATCAATAGAAAGAAAATGTTCAGGGTAAAGGATTGTGGAGACCAAGTTTTATTGTGCAGAGGAAGCCCTCAGATAGCAGACTTCAGAGAGAGCAGGTTGTAAAATCTTTCTTATTGAACTTAAGAGACTGCCTGGCTCTTAGTCGATTACTCCTGGATCTGGGAAGAGAAGAAGGAAAATAAAGGGGAAAGGGGCTTCTCTATAGAATGTGGATTTTTCCCACAAGAGGCTTTGCAGAGCAATTTCAAGATATAGCAAGGAAATATATTTTGGGGTTAAATATTTTGATCTTCTTCCTTGTCTCAGTGTTATGCCAGAGTTAGATTGCAAAGTAACCCACGATATGTAGGGTTAAATAACACCCATCTGATAAGAATTTATGGTTTGTAGGGCATGGCTCACCTGAACCCTTAGGTAGGAATTTGGGCAAGATAAAAAATTGGAGATTAGTTTTCATGGTCAATTCATTCTTTATGGGCTGACATGTATTTTTTAAAAAAGTAACAAATAGAGAGATACGTTCGTCAGTTTGCTCCTTTCTGCCCGTGGACGCCGCCGAAGAAACATCATTAAAGTCTCTCTTCTCCCTGCTATCATGTCTAAGTCTGAGTCTCCTAAAGAGCCGGAACAGCTGAGGAAGCTCCTCATTGGAGGGCTGAGCTTTGAAACAACCAATGAGCGCCTGAGGAGCCATTTTGAGCAATGGGGAATGCCCACAGACTCCGTGGTAATGAGAGATCCAAACACCAAGCCCTCCAGGGGATTTGGGTTCGTCACATAGGCAACTGTGGAGGAGGTGGATGCAGCCATGAATGCAAGGCCACACAAAGTGGATGGAAGAGTTGTGGAACCAAAGAGAGCTGTCTCAAGAGAAGATTCTCAAAGACCAGGTGCTCACTTAACTGTGAAAAAAATATTCGTTGGTGGCATTAAAGAAGACACTGAAGAACATCACCTAAGAGATTATTTTGAACAGTATGGAAAAATTGAAGTGATTGAAATCATGACTGACCGAGTCAATGGCAAGGAAAGGGGCTTTGCCTTTGTAACCTTTGACGACCATGAGTCTGTGGATAAGATTGTCATTCAGAAATACCATACTGTGAATGGCCACAACTGTGAAGTTAGGAAAGCCCTGTCAAAGCCAGAGATGGCTAGTGCTTCATCCAGCCAGAGGTCGAAGTGGTTCTGGAAACTTTGGTGGTGGTTGTGGAGGTGGTTTCGGTGGGAATGACAACTTTGGTCGTGGAGGAAACTTCAGTGGTCGTGGTGGCTTTGGTGGCAGCCGTGGTAGTGGTGGATATGCTGGCAGTGGGGATGGCTATAATGGATTTGGTAATGATGGAGGCAATTTTGGAGGTTGTGGAAGCCACAATGATTTTGGCAGTTACAACAATCAGTCTTCAAATTTTGGACCCATGAAGGGAGAAAACTTTGGAGACAGAAGCTCTGGCCCCTGTGGTGGTGGCGGACAATATTTTGCCAAACCACGAAACCAAGGTGGCTATGACGGTTCCAGTAGCAGCAGTAGCCATGGCAGTGGCAGAAGATTTTAATTAGGAAACAAAGCTTAGCAGGAGAGGAGAGCCAGAGAAGTGACAGGGAAGCTACAGGTTACAACAGATTTGTGAACTGAGCCAAGCACAGTGGTGGTGTGATATGGCTGACTTAGAGTTAGAACTTGAGCAATGCCATTTTGTACAAGACAAAGCTATTTTCCAAAAATAAGTTGTAACGACTGCCCCATTCTCCTCGCAATAACCGCTGACCTTGGATTCTGTAAAGTTGCTTGCCTTTACTTATCAGTAACTGCCAGAAGTGCTTGCCTTTGCTTATCAGAAAGTGCTGAAAAGTTGCTTGCCCTGCATCCCCTCACCCTCTTGGTCCTAAATCCAGGATGTGGTTTTTCAGCTTAAAACCCCCTGGTCCCCCTGAGCCCAGGGCCACATGTTGGAGAGACGTGAGTCCTCTGTGGTCGCCGGCATAATAAATGGCCCTGCAATTTGGCATACTTTTGTCTTGGTGTAAATATTTTAATCTTGAATTTCAGTACCTCAGTGTCAGGGCCTAGCTGCTACAAAGAAGACATGATTTAGACAAATACTCATGTATATGGGCAAAAAACTTGAGGACTGTATTTGTGACTAATTGTATAACAGGTTATTTTAGTTTCTGTTCTGTGGAAAGTGTAAAACATTCCAACAAAGGGTTTTAATGTAGATTTTTTTTCTTTTTTCTTTTTTTTTTTGCACCCATGCTGTTGATTGCTCAATGTAATAGCCTGATCGTGACACTGAATAAATGTCTTAAAAAAAAAGTAACAAGTAGATCCTAAAATATATCTCAAAACAATGGAAGCTTATTTCTCTATTTCTTTTTTAAATGAATGGACTATGGTTTTTTTTTTTTTTTTTTGAGACGGAGTTTCACTCATGTTACCCAGGCTGGAGTGCAATGGCTCGATCTCGGCTCACTGCAACCTCCGCCTCCTGGGTTCAGGCAATTCTCCTGCCTCAGCCTCCTGAGTACCTGGGACTACAGGCACGCGCCACCATGCCCAGCTAATTTTTTTGTAGTTTTAGTAGAGAGGGTTTCACCTTGTTGACCAGGATGGTCTCGATCTCTTGACCTCGTGATCCACCCGCCTCGGCCTCCCAAAGTGCTGGGATTACAGGCTTGAGCCACCGCGCCCGGCCTGGACTATGTTTTAAAGCAGTTTTAGATTTGTAGAAAATTGAATGGAAGGTACGGAGAGTTCTTGTATATCCCACTTTGCAGCTTCCTAGGCCCACTCCCCACCTTCCCATTGCTTATGATTTCCCCTGCTATTCACATCTTTCATTTGTTACACATTTGTTACAATTGATGAGCTGATGTGAACACATTATTATTAACCAAAGTCCATAGTTTACATTAGGATTCACTCTTTGTGTTATACATCTACCAGCAAATGTATGACATGCCTCCACCATTACTATCATACAGAATAGTTTTACTGCCCTAATCATCTCTTATGCTCCCTGTCGTCGTCTGTTACTCTCCTCAAATCCCTGGCAGCTACTGACCTTTTTCTGTCTTCACTGTTTTACCTTTTCCAGAATGTCATATCCAGAATCATAGAGTATATAGTCTTTTCAGACTGGCTTCTTTCACTTAGCAATATGCATGTAAGTTTCTTTCATATCTTTTCATGACTTGATGGCTTACTTTTCATTTTATTGCTGAATAATGTTTCATCATATGGATGTACCACAGTTTGTGTATTCATTCAGTTATTGAAGGACATCTTGGTTTCTTCTGAGGATTGGCAATTATGAATAAACCCGATGTAAACATTTGTCTGCAGATTTTTGTATGGATGTTTTCAACTCATTTGAATAAATACCAAAGAGCATGTGACTCCATCAGATAGTAAGATGGGTAAAATTTTATAAGAATTGCCAAAGTGTCTTCCAAAGTATCTGGACCATTTTGTATTCCTACCAGCAGTGAATCAAAGTTCCTTTGGCTCCACGAAATCCTCACAAGCATTTGGTAGTGTTAACGTTTTGAATTCTAGCCATTCTAATAGGTATGTAGTAGTTTCTTACTGTTGTTTTGTTGATTTTATGCACTTCAAAATGTATTAAAACATATTTCTACCTCCTGTATCCAAGTTTCTTAACCTTGAGTTGAGAGATGGAATTCATTCAGGACCTTTATGAAGTTGTGTTTAAAATTGTGTATGACTTTCTAGATAATGAGCAGAGCTTATTTTTCTCATTAGAATTTAAAAGAGATTTATCACTCACAAAGACAAAGTACCTTAGTTTTAGGCAGTTTTATTATTATTATTTTAATATAAATCGCTTTTAACAGTATTGTTCCAATTTAGATTCCATGCTGTTTGAGAAGTTAGACCATAGGCAATTACACGTATAATTCAACAGATTATTGGGGAATCTTTAATGTAACAATCACAATATTAGACATTGGAGATACAGAGTTCAAGAAAATATGGCATCTGTTCTTGGGAAATTCACACTCCTGTGATTTCTATTAACAGCCAATAATCAAAGAGGAAGACCAAAGGCTGACCTGTCACTTTGAAGATTACTTCTGGGTGCTCAGTCCTGGTTGTGCCAGTAGATGTCATTGTAGTGTAGGACAGCTAACCTGATCAGTTAACATGAAGACATGGAAGTCAGAAATCGCTCTCTTTTTGATGAATGATGTACATTTTAAAAAAATCATGTAGATTTTTTCTTACTGACACAGACACAGAGCTGCCATGAGTATAAAATTATAGTTGTTTAAAAATTAGAGGATATTTTGAAGCATAACTAAAAATATTTCTGCAAAAGAATATGCATAGCCAACAATATTATAATTTAACATACAATGTTTTAAGCTGGCAATTTGAAACTTCTAAGCTTTCAGCATGATTTTAAAGGTAATTGAAGCATTCACATTAAATGAAAAGCCCAACAATCATTACTTATATTTGTTAGCACCTGGCATTTCTCTTATAAAATCCAAAGACAAACTGAATACTTCTAGTAAGAGTGAAAGATTTAAATTTTAGCCTCTATGACATATATGTCGTTTCAAAGAGTTTTCTGTTCTGAAACAAGAAGAATTCTGTATAAGAAAAAGCTGAACTAAAAATCAAAGGTCTTGGTTTAATTTTTAAAGTGCTTATTAACTAATTAAATAGTGCTCATACCTGATATTTTTTATGCCTTGTATTAATATTGGGAATACAAAGATGAATATGTCATGTGTTCTATCCACAAAGAGATTATATTCTAGTGTGAGAGACTTTTTTTTTTTTTTTAAACAAGACAGGGCCTTGCTCTGTCGCTGAGGCTGGAGTACAGTAGTGCATAGTGTTGCAGCCTCAATCTCCTGGGTTCATGCAATCCTCCTACCTCAGCCTCCTGAGTCGCTGGGACTGTTGGCACATGCCACCATATCCAACTAGTTTTTTAAATTTCTGTAGATAAGAAGTTTCACTATGTTGCCAAGCCTAGTCTCAAACTCTTGAGCTCAGGCAATTCTCCCGATTTGGCCTCCCAAAATGCTGCGATAACAGGTGTCAACCACCATGCCCTGTTGAATTTTCTTTTGAAACGAAAATTTGAGTAGCAATTGGATAGACTCAAACTCAATTACATTTAATGTGGGTTTTTTTGACTAGTCCCAAACCATTAAACACCAATGAGATAAACTAATATACATTATGCTGAGGCATAGAAATTTTTCTTTATGCTGAAGAGCGAATGTCCTGGATCCAATCACTCAATGAGAATGTGTAGCTTACTTTTTGGCATCTATATCCGAAAGGGAGTTTGTCAATGCAAATTCCTTTTCATATAGAAAGTCACTGTGAAGATGTCTTTTGTATTTAAATGTTCACACCAATTAAGTGGGTGGAAATTGAAAAGCTGACTAATTTGTACTGGGAAGGTTGGCATGGGAAACTCATTTTATGAGGCCAGCATTACCTTAAGATTGAAATCAGGCAAAATAAATTACAGGAAAAAAAATGCCGACTAATATCGTACTTAAACATAGATCCCAAAATTCTCAAGAAAATATTAGCAAATTAGATGCAGCAATGTATAAAAAGGATAATGCATCATGACTAAGTGGAATTAATTGTAGGAAGGCAAGGTGGCTCAATGTTTAAATCTAAATCAATGTAATTCATCATATCAATAGATGAAAGAAGCAAAATTATAGGATCATCATCAATAGATGCAGGAAAAAGCACTTAATAAAATTCAATATTCATTCATGATAAAAACTGTAAGCAAATATCCTCAACTTCACAAAGGACATTTATGAAAATCCTATGGCTGACATCATTCTTAAGGGTTGTCTCAGTCTGGTTTGTGATATGGTTTGGCTGTGTTCCCACCCAAATCTCATCTTCAATTCCCATGTGTTGTGGGAGGGACCCAGTGGGAGGTCATTGAATCATGGGAGCAGCTCTTTCTCCTGTTGTTCTCATCATAGCAAATAAGTCTCATGACCTCCCATAGTATTATAAGGGGGAGATTTTCTGCACAAGCTCTCTTTGTGCCTGCTACCATCCATGTAAGACATGACTTGCTTCTCCTTGCCTTCCACAGTGATTGTGAGGTCTCCCCAGCTATGTGGAACTGTAAGTCCATTAAGCCTCTTTTTCTTCCCAGTCTTGGGTATGTCTTTATCAGCAGTGTGAAAACAGACTAATACAGTAAATTAGTACCAGAAATGGGGTGCTGCTGAAAAGATACTAAAAAATGTGGAAGCAACTTTGGAACTGGGTAACAGGCAGAGGTTGGAACAGTTTGGAATTCTGAGAAGAAGACAGGAAAATGTGGGAAAGTTGGGAACTTCCTAAAGACTTGTTGAATGGCTTTGACAAAAATGCTGATAGTGATATGAACAATAAGGTCCAAGCTGAGGTGGCCTCATATGGAGATTAGGAACTTGTTAGGGACTGAAGCAAAGGTGATTCTTGTTATGTTTTAGCAAAGAAACTGATGGCATTTTGCTCCTGTTCTAGAGATTGGTGGAACTTTGAACTTGAGACAGATGATTTAGGGTATCTGGCA